TGAGTTAGAGTCTCACTTTGTCTCCCAGGCTAGAATCCAATGGCGTGATCATGGCCACCACAACCTGTATCTGCTGGGCTCGAGCAATTCTCTCATTTTGGCTGTCCAAATAGCTAGGACTATAGGCGCATGCCACCATGCCCAGCTAATTTCTGTAAATTTATTGTAGAGACACGGTCTCACCATGTTGCTCAGGCAGTCCTCTCACAAGGTAATGGGACTAGATGTTAGCCACCACACCTGGCTCTTACCCTTTTAACTTTTGGAACCGGTCCCACTGGCAGGGAACCCACCAGAAACTGCATTCCTAACCCTCCAGGGTTGGGCAGTTTGAGTTAAAGTTGACTGCATGTGTGACTCTGGGCAGGTCAGACGAGGCTTATTCCTGAGCCTCTGTTGCCTTGTCCATAAACTGGGTATAATCATCTCATCCTGAATTGCCAGGAAAATGAGATGAGGTCATGGTTGTGCAGATCCTTGGAAAGTAGAAAGCATTGGGCATTCACAAGAGACAGCTGACCTTGAGGCCTGCGCCCTGGCTTTTTGGAGAAGGCAGTCTAGGTTGGAGTCCCAGTGCCACCACTTAATGTGATGCTTTTTTTTTTTTTTTTTTTTTTTTTGAGTCAGAGTCTTACTGTCACCCAGGCTCGTGAGAACAAGAGCCCCTTGCTTACCCCAGCACATCTAGGAAGATTAACAGTCATCCCAGCTGGGCATGGTGGGCTCATGCCTGTAATCCCAGCACTTTGGGAGGTGGAGACAAGAGGATTGTCTGAGGCCACAGGTTTCAGACCAGCCTGAGCAACTTGGCGAGATCTCATCTCTACAATAAATCAAAAACTCAGCTGGGCATGGTGGTGCACACTTGTGGTTTCAGCTACTTGGAAGGCTGAAGTGGAAGGATCACCTGAGCCCAGCGGGTTGAGACTGTGGTAGCTGTGATCGTGCCACTGCACTCCAGCCTGGGCAACAGAGTGAGACTCCAACTCAAAAAAATAAAAACCAAGCCAGGCTTGGTGGCTCAGCCTCTAATCCCGTGCCTTTGGGAGCCTGAGGTGAGTGGATTGCCTGAGCCCGCGGGTTCGAGACCTGCCTGGGCAGGCGAGACCTCATCTCTACAATAAATCAAGAAACCAGCCGGACATGGTAGCGTGCGCCTGTAATTCTAGCACTTGGAAGGCTGAGGCAGAAGGATCGCCGGAGCCCAGCAGGTCGAGGCTGCGGTGGCCGGGAGCGGCCACTGCACTCCAGTCTGGGCAACAGAGTGAGACTCCAACTCAAAAAAACCCCCAAAATAACCAAAAAGCAGTCATCCCATAATATCACCCGATCTGTGATCAGTGGGGTGTCCTAAGTTGTGCCAGAAGTATCTTTGTAGTTTTATTACAAGCCAAGACCCAGTTGAGCTGTTTGCCCTGCACTGAGATGTTCTTTCTTTTGTCTCTGAACTTAGAATAGACCTCCTCCTCCCATACCAGCCAAGAGTTGACTTTTTGAAAAGTCACTTGGCCAGTTGCCTGGATTATTTATTTATTTATTTATAAAATAGGGTCTCACTATTTTGTCCAGGCTGGTTTAAACTCCTGGGCTCAAGCCGGGCTCGGTGGCTCAGCCTGTAATCCCGTGCCTTTGGGAGGCTGAGGTGAGTGGATTGCCTGAGCCCGTAGGTTCGAGACCCGCCTGGGCAGTGAGACCTCATCTCTACAATAAATCAAAAAATCAGTCAGGCGTGGTAGCGCATGCCTGTAATTCTGGCTACTTGGAAGGCTGAGGCAGAAGGATCGCCGGAGCCCAGCAGGTCGAGGCTGCGGTGGCCGGGAGTGGCCACTGCACTCCAGTCTGGGTGACAGAGTGAGATTCCAACTCAAAAACAAAACAAAACAAAAAAAACTCCTGGGCTCAAGCGATCCTCCCACCTCGGCCTCCCAAAGTGCTGTGTTTACAGGTATGAGCCACAGTGCCTGGCCTGTTTTTCATGTACTTAATGTTTTTGTTTAAAATAAGGATAACTGCCAGGCGTGATGGCTCACGCCTGTAATCCCAGCACTTTGAGAGATTGAGATGAGAGGATTGACTGAGCCCAGTGGTTCGAGACCAGCCTGGACAGCTTAGTGAGACCACCTCTCTACAATAAATTTTTAAAAATAGCTGGTTGTGGTGGTGCTCACCTGTAGTTCCAGCTACTTGAAAGGCTGGGGTGGAAGGATCACCTGAGTCCAGTAGGTCGAGGCTGCGGTGACCATAAGCATGCCTGGGTGACAGAGTGAGACTCCAGCTCAAAAAAATAAAATAAATAAGTATAACTAGCCGAGCTCGGTGGCTCAGCCTGTAATCCCGCGACTTTGGGAGCCTGAGGTGAGTAGATTGCCTGAGCCCACGGGTTCGAGACCCGCCTGGGCAACTTGGCGAGACCTCATCTCTACAATAAATTAAAAATTAGCCAGCGTGGTAGCATGCGCCTGTAGTTCCAGCTACTTGGAAGGCTGAGGCGGAAGGATTACCGGAGTCCAGCAGGTCAAGGCTGCGGTGGCCGGGAGTGGCTACTGCACTCCAGTCTGGGCGACAGAGTGAGACTCGAACTCAAAAAAAAAAAAAAAAAAAAAAAAGAAAAGTATAACTTACATGTAGTAAAATGTACGCATTTTAAGTGTAAAACATACTTATAAGATTAATTTTTTTTAATATAAGATACAGTTGACTGGGCATGGTGGTGCAAGCCTATAATCCCAGCACTTTGGGAGACTGAGGCAAGAGGAATCCCTGAGTCCAAGGGTTTGAGACCAGCCTGGGCTACTTGGTGAGACCTCGTCTCTACAATATATCAAAAAATTAGCCGGGCATGGTAGCGCACGTCTGTAGTTCTGGCTACTTGGAAGGCTGAGGCAGAAGAATCGCCTGAGCCAAGCGGGTTGACACTGGGGTGGTGGTGAGTGAGCCACTGCTATCCAGCCTGTGTGACTAAGTAAGACTCTGACTTAAAAAAAAAAAAAAAAAAAAGCTGAGCTGGTGACTCTCGCCTATAATCCCAGCGCTTTGGGAGTCTGAGGTGAGAGAATTACCTGAGCTCATGGGATCAAGACCAACCTGGGCAACTTGGTGAGACTTCATCTCTACAATAAAAAAATCAAAAAATTAGCCAGGCGAGGTGGTGCGTGCATGTGGTTCCAGCTACTTGGAAGGCTGAGGCGGAAGGATCACCTGAGCCCAACAGGTTGAGGCTGTGGTATCTGAGCATGCCACTGCACTCCAGCCTGGGAGACTGAGTGAGACTCCAACTCAAAAAAAAAGATACAGCGGGGAGGGAGATGGGATTAACAGTAGCAAATATCTGTCTGGGGATGGGGAAACACCTCTTATCAACAGGGTGCCTGAACGAAACATAATTGTACACCTAACCCTTAACTGTGCCCCACAAAACCATAATAAAAAATACTGATTATGAAAAAAAAAAAGATACAGTCAAGATACAGAGTATGTCCCTCCCCGGTCAGTATCGCTCACCTCAGAGGCAACCACTATTCTGGCTTCAATCATGTAAATTAGATTTTAGTTCATTTGACTTGTGGAAAGTCCCATAGTCTGAATTTGTCTACTTGTTTCCTCATGGTGGTGTTTGACATGTTGCTCTATGCCTTGTATGTCCCATAAGCTGGAAGTTCAGGGTCCAGGCTTCATGGCAAACATTTCTGCAAGAACACATTGTTCTTTTTTTATTTTATTTTATTTTTTTGAGTTGGAGTCTCACTCTCACCCAGGCTAGAGTGCAGTGCAGTGGTGTGATCTCGGCTCACTGCAGCCTTGAGCTCTTGGGCTCAAGTGACAATTCCGCCTCAGCCTTCCGAGTAGCTGGGACTACAGATGCATAGCACCATGCCTGGCTACTTATATATTCTTTTTTTTCAGAGACACGGTCTCTCTGTGTTTGCTAGGGTGGTCTCAAACTTTTGTCCTCAAGCAGTCCTCCTACCTGAGCCTCCCAAAGTGCTGGGATTACATACATGAGCCAGAGTGCCTGGCTTCAATTTTGTTTTTTTTTTTTTTTTTTCTTGCACACCGCCCTTAACAGACTCCACCTCTTCTCCCCAGATGAGCTCCCCACACAAGAACCCTGTGCCGTCGTCCCTGAATGAGTACGAGGTGCTCCCCAACGGCTGCGAGGCCCACTGGGAGGTGGTAGAGCGGATCCTGTTCATCTACGCCAAGCTGAACCCTGGCATTGCTTATGTTCAGGGCATGAACGAGATCGTGGGGCCCCTCTATTACACCTTTGCCACTGACCCCAACAACGAGTGGAAAGGTAAAGGCTCCTGGCTGTCCTTGGCCCTCGTTGGCAGCCCCCTCGAGAAGTAGACTGAGCAGGCATGTGGGAGCTATGTCAGCCATGCAGCTCATGCCCCCTCTCGGGCCTCCATCCTCCCTGTCAGATGAGGGCTTGGCCTGGATCATTTCCAGGACCCTTTACAGCTCTCATCTAGAATGCTGGGTGGTTATGGAGCTCCTCATATTTGCAACTTAATTTCTGGTAGAGAAGATGAGATGTGTATACAGGAAGGTGAATGAGAAGACTTAAATAATGATTTGACAGATGTTGTCAGGAGAGTGTGTCATCAGTTGCTAAGTGAGTGTGCAGTGTTGCCAGAGGGTGGGAGAAGAAAGAGGTGATATCCTTAGTCTGGGAGCGGAGAGTGGTGGAGGGCAGAGAAAGGACTGAGCTCCGAGGGGGGTGGGACTCAGCAGGGTCAGGTGGCCTGCAGGTGAGAGGCGGTCGGACCTTGAGCGAACCTCTTCCGGCGCCTACCCACACCCATGCTCTGTCCCAGAGCATGCCGAGGCGGACACCTTTTTCTGCTTTACCAATCTCATGGCCGAGATCCGGGACAACTTCATCAAGAGCCTGGATGACTCGCAGTGCGGCATCACCTACAAGATGGAGAAGGTGTACTCCACCTTGAAGGACAAGGACGTGGAGCTCTACCTGAAGCTGGTGAGGCGCCCAGGGCCCCACCACCCAGGGCAGATGGTGGGAGAGAGCTGAGGCGGGGCAGGTCCTGAGCAGCCGGGCCAAGGGCAGGGTCTGGCTTGAGTCTGGGGGTTGGAAGTGGCCACTGCTTGCGGCTGCTGGGACACTGACCCACATACCCAGGCAGGCCTGGGGGGCTGAGGCTGCCGACATAGGAGACTGGCAGGCTGGGAGGGAAGAGGAAGGTTGAGAACAATACCCACTGTGTGCCCGGCACAGGGTAGGTTATTCACCATATCTGCATAGTTCAGTCTGTTGGTTGTCTGCTGAAGTGTTGACTTCATTCATTCATTTATATTATTTCTCTTCTTCCCCCAACTTCATTTTTTTTTACATAAAAACAAAGTTTTGTGAAAAATAAAATACATATAGGTCTTTTTTCTTTTTTTTTTTTTTTTTTGAGTTGGAGTCTCACTCTGTCGCCCAGACTGGAGTGCGGTGGCCTGCTGGGCTCCAATGATCCTTCCGCCTCAACCTTCCGAGTAGCCGGAATTACAGGCACGCACTACAACGCCTGGCTGATTTTTTGATTTATTGTAGAGATGAGGTCTCGTCAAGTTGCCCAGGCGGGTCTCGAACCCACGGGCTCAGGCAATCCACTCACCTCAGCCTCCCAAAGGCACGGGATTACAGGCTGAGCCACCGAGTCCGGCTTTCTTTCTTTTTTTTTTTTTGAGTTGGAATCTCACTCTGTCGCCCAGACTGGAGTGCAGTGGCCTCTCCCGGCCACTGCAGCCTTGACCTGCTGGGCTCCAGTGATCCTTCTGCCTCAGCCTTCCCAGTAGCTGTCTATTTTTTTTTCTGAGTTGGAGTCTCACTCTGTCACCCAGGCTGGAGTGCAGTGACATGCTCACAGCCACCACAGCCTCGGCCTGCTGGGCTCAGGCAATCCTCCTGCCTAAGACTTCCAAGTAGCTGGAGCCACAGGCATGCGACACCATGCCCAGCTAATTTTTTAATTTATTATAGAGATGAGGTCTCACCAAGTTGCCCAGGCTGGTCTTGAACCCCTTGGCTCAGGCAGTCCTCTTGCCTCCATCTCCCAAAGTGCTGGGATGACAGGTGTGAGTCACCACACCTGGCTGTTTTATCTTCTTTAATCTTTTTTTTAATTTCTTTTTTTTGAGTTGGAGTCTCACTCTGTCACCCAGGCTGGAGTGCAGTGGCACACTCGCGGCTACCACAGCCTTGACCTGCTGGGCTCAGGCGATGCTTCTGTCTCAGCCTTCCAAGAAGGTGGAACTACAGGCATGTGCTACCATGCTCTGCTAATTTTTGTAATCATTGTAGAGACAAGGTCTACCAAGTTGCCCAGGCTGGTCTCGAACCCCTAGGCTCAGGCAATCCTCTTGCCTCGGCCTCCTAAAGTACTGGGATTAAAGGTTTGAGCCACCGCACCTGGTCCTTAATTCACTTTTTTTTTTGAGTTGGAATCTCACTCCGTTGCCCAGGCTGGAGCACAGTGGCACGTTCACGGCCACCCCAGCGTCGACCCGCTGGGCTCCAGCAATCCTTCCACCTCAACCTTCCAAGTAGTCTATTACATGTGCTACCTCGCCTGGCTAATTTTTTATTTATTGTAGAGACGAGGTCTTGCCAAGTTGCCCGGGCTGGTCTTGAACCCGCGGACTCAGGCAGTCTACTTGCCTCGGCCTCCCAAAGTGCTGGAATGACAGGCTGAGCCACCAAGCCTGGCCCGAATTCCCTTCTGTTAGGCTGTGTCGTGTTACGTGGTAACCAACCAACGCACATTCTTGCACTGCACTCTCCCAGCAAGAGCAGAGTATCAAGCCCCAGTTCTTCGCCTTCCGCTGGCTGACACTGCTGCTATCCCAGGAGTTCTTGCTACCTGACGTCATCCGCATCTGGGACTCCCTCTTTGCCGACGACAACCGCTTTGACTTCCTCCTCCTTGTCTGCTGTGCCATGCTCATGTGAGTGCGGCCATGGCCTGGCATGGGCCCACCTGACCAGTCCTTGGGCAAAACCAGAGGGGAGGTCCCTCAGCCCCTGAAGGGTGAACGAGGGCTGCCCCCACAAGGTTGGAGTGGGCCTCGGGAATTCTCAGGAGAGCACAGAACCCAGCTTGCTGTGGTTGGTGAGGGAGGGGCAGAAGGGGCCTGGCAGGGCCTGCACTCAGAGCAGCCTAGGGTCCTAGGGCTTACTGCTTGTTTTTCTTAGACTGATCCGGGAGCAGCTGCTGGAAGGGGACTTCACCATCAACATGCGGCTCCTGCAGGTAATCGGGGCTTCGAGGGGCGAGCCCAGTCTTAGCCAAGAGACGCTCACCAAGCATCCACCCCACGCCAGCCGCTGTGGCAGGCTGGGGCTAGGGACAGTAGAGTGTTGCAGGCCCCTGAGACAGATCTGGCTTGGATCTGGGTTTGAGTCCTGGCTCTGCCACTGGCCTGGTGTCATGTGGCCTAGAGTGAGTGACTTGGCCTCCCTAGTACCCCGTGCAGGTGGTCACACCCAGGACACAGCAAGTGCCCAGAATACGGCTATAATCCCCGGTAACCATGCTTGGACCTGGGGACGGAAGGTGGAACCCAGTGATTCACAGCATGAGCTAAGGGCCAGATGGCTTTGGGGCCACAGCTTTGTCCTGCTGTGCTCATCACGTGACCTGAGCCAAGTGACAGCCTATCTGGGTCTCCCTTTCTCCACCAGCTCCTGGCCCAGGGTTGGTGTTCCGTAACTTAGTGTACAGGTCTATACAATGGGCATGATCACAGGGTGGTTGAGGCGACCCATGAGCTGATGCTTGGACAGTGCCCGGCCCAGTGCCAGGTTTGGTACGAGTGGAGCAGGGGTTCCAGCCAGTGGGAGGATGAGGCAGCACGGCTAGTCCTGAGGAAAGAGTTGTGAGGCCCTGGGTGGTACCGCTGGCTGGGTTGGGCTGGGCTGGGCTGGTCTTGTGGTGGATGTGACGTTAGCTGCGTGCAGGGCTTGGGCAGGATGTGCGGGATGGCTGTGTTTTGTGGTCCCTGCCCCGAGGCCCAGGTCCAGCATGGTGACAGTCCCGGTGGGCAGCATATGGGGGTGGTAGAGATGATAGAGGGTGCCTCGCTGGTCTTTTCCCATGCCAGCATCAGGGCACATTGCTGGTCTTTCCTGTGCCCAGGATTACCCCATCACAGACGTCTGCCAGATCCTGCAAAAAGCAAAGGAGCTCCAGGACACCAAGTAGTCCGGCAGCTGAAGGCCACACAACCCCTGTTTCTGGGCTTTCTGGATGCAGAAGCCTGTGGGAGTCTCAGCCCGAGGAGCAATTGCAGGACTGGTCTGCTCCAGGCCTTCTCACCTTGGCTCCGTGATCCAGGCCGCCCCACTGGGGCCACACTGTGCTGTGTCCTCCCCTCTGTCAGGCCCAGACCCTGACTCCCGCCTGCCCTCCAGCCCTGCCCCTCTTTCCCAGGCTGGTGAGCAGGGCTGGAGCTCGGGGAGTTCTCGCTCCTGGGGCCGGGGGCCGTTTGGGACCACTGGGAGGCTGGCATGGACCCTTCCTGCCTCGGCCCTGCTGCTCTTGCCTGGTTTCCTGCTCTGGTCTTCTCCTGGTCTGGGAGGTACTTGGCACACGGGCCAGAGAGCACCCTGAGGTTGGTGCTCAGGCTCCTGCGTGGGGAGGTGGACCGAGGCACTAAACAGCTCCCAGGTCTAGGCCTCGCCTCCATCTCGCCCGCTAAGCATGAGTGTCTGTAGTCGCTGATTGTCTGTGTCCCCACGTCCCCGGTGTCTGCTTCTCTGTGTGTGAGAGGTGGGGGTGTCTGAGCCCCCCGCGTCTCTTGCTTCTCCTCCTCTGTCTCTACCTCTCTGCCATCGCCCCCCACCTCTCACAGGTGTTTGTGGCCTCTCTGTCTCTCTCTCCACTGTCCACTGTCGCCCTCCGCCCTTCTCTCTTGGGGTGCCTTATCCTGAGCCGCCTCCCCCACCTCCCTCCACGCCCATGAACCTGGGAGACAGTTGAGTCTGACTCAGCAAGGCCCCTGGGGGCTGACCTTGGCCTCTGCATTCTGTCCCCGGCCCCAAGCTCCCAGGCCCCCAAGCCCCCCAGGCTAGGAAGCAGTCCTCAGTGCCTCACTGAGAGGGTTCCAAACCTGCTCCCCACAACAGAAGCTGCTGAGAAGTAGAGCTTTGGGTCTCTTGGCCCTGCCTCCTGCCCAGGGAGGGAGAAGGAAGAGGGAGAGTTGGTTTTCTGGAGGCTTTCCCAGAGGCCCTCCCATCCCAGAGGGAAGGATGTGAAGGCGATTCTGTCCCCAGGGTCGGAATCCAAGTGTCAGAAGCACTGTCATTCCCTGTGCATCCAGGTCCCAGCCCAGGTGGGCAAATCCCACAGAGGGCAGGCGGGAACCAAGGAGCCCCCTGGGATAGGGGTAGCTGAGCTTAAAGGGCCATGTCTGCGCCTTTGTGCCTCTCTAACCCTGCAGACTGAGGGAGGTACAGGCCTTCCTGTCACCATCACCTGCCTGGGCTGTTCCCAAGGTCGGGACAGGTGCTTTCTGAGCAGGGCAGCTAACTGCTTCATTCTGGGAGGAGTGGGCTTCTTCTGCCAGGCCCTCTCCCTGCTTTTGTGAGTAGGGTCCTGATCCTGTCCTCAGACTGGCCAGCAGAAGCCAGGCCCAGCAGCCCTGCTGCCCCACCGCCCTCCCGACCCAGCTGTGGGCCAGACGCAGCCTCTCCAGGCTCTTCCCTGGGCACTGCTGGGATTCTGCACTTGCCTTTCTGCCTCCTGCTCTCCCAACACAGTATCTGGGGGACACTGACTATTTATTCAGACTCTGGCTATTTATTGCAGACGGTCCTCTTGGTTTCCCAAGGCCTGAGTCGGCATCATCTCCCCCTGTGTCTGGGATGTGCTTGGTTTTCCAGCAGGTCCTGGCTGGGAGGGCTCTGAGCTCTGGAACTGACTGTCAGAGAAGAGAGCTGGTCCCCTTGCCAGACTCAAGGACCCCTGGGAAGAAGCAGGGACACACCGCCTCCTGCCAGCCTGTCCACCCTCTACCCAGAACTTCTCAGCTAGTGGGTCAGCCCCTCTGTTGACCCCTTCACAGCCTGAGACTTGGGCCACTGCCTGGGACCCAGCAGACACTGCCCAGGGCACTTGATGCGTTCCCTCTTGTCTGACCCCTACCCTCCCTCCTGGGACCACACTACTTGAATCACCTGTATCTGATTTGCCTCAGTGGCAGAGCTGGGTCAAGTGCCCTCTCCTTGACTGTGAGGTGAGGGTCACGAGCACAGGGACCATGTCATGGTTAGGCTGAGCTCCCCAGTGGGATACAGCCCAAGGAAAGGACGTGTCCTTGGCGGTTCCCATCCCCAGATTCTACAGGGAGGTCCCCACAGAGCCAGAGTGCCTGAGGCTTCCTGCCTGAGAAACTTCCCCCGGACTTTGGACACTTGCAGACTGAGCTGTGTGGATTCAGCAGGGTCTCACTCCAGAGGGCCAGAATGTTAGTCTGCTTTTGTTTTTTCATTGTTTTCCTGGAGTCAGTGCTATTGAGGATGAGTCATCTTTAATAAATCATGTGTTCTTTGCAATGGCCATTGATGCTGTGATGGGCTGAAACCTTCGGGACCTCAGAGCCCAGGGAAATGTGAACAGGTTGGAGTCAGTCTCCTGGCATCGCCCTTCTGAGAGAAAGGTCAGGAAGTTCTTGTAGGAAATCAGCCACACCAATCTGCAGCCAGGGAAGGTGGGAGTGTGGGTTGGGAAGAAGGTGTTACATACGCGATTATGTAGCAAGTTATTATTTTTTTTGAGTTGGAGTCTCACTCTGTTGCCCAGACTGGAGTGCAGTGGCTGC